AGTTTTTATGAGCGAAAACAATATTTATCAAGTCATTCCTAAAGTACTTATGAGACACTTCAAAAGGTTGTCAAGCTTACACTTTTTAAAACAACTATTGCTAGCAAAAGGACTTTGAAGACTATAGGTTGTGATTGCATGGGACTTAAATCATAAAACTATAATTTAGCCCAAAACCATGAGTACAAACTCAAGGTTTGGATTATTGTCTTAAGTGGTTAAGAGTATGAACAATCTTCCAAACTTGGTAATATCTTCATCTTGTCATATTTTGAAAAAATAATAAAACCGGTATAAACGAATATATTACATACAAAATAAACAAATGTAAAAATACATATTTATCTACTAAATCTTCGTGAATAAATAAATATCAACCAACATAACACAAGGTTCCAAATGGATTTTTTATATACAACATCATCATATGAAACATAAAACCAAACTTTGGTTTATAGGGTAATTTTATACAACCAAAATGCAAGAAAAAATTGGTTGCATAAAAATAACATTTATAAAACTACGAGTGGCTAAAGATAACATAATTGGTCATGTTTTCAAAAAAAAATACCAAACATGTTTCCCAAAACCAAAGGTTATAAAAAATAAAATAAATCTTTCTAAAATTTAAAAGAGAGTTTGACACCACAATTTGACACCACTGATGGGTTTTGAGTAACTAAAAAGGTTTTTTTTTTTTTTTTTTTTTTTTTTTTTTTTTTTAAACTTATAACGGCAAATGGAAACAATTATAAAATAACAATGATTTTAAGACTTTTTAAAACAAAACCACCAATGATCCATTTACATGATATAAAAATATTAATAAAAATACATAGAATGTTTTAATGACAACATCTAAAGACTTTGATCTCACTTGGTAATTGGGAAGTTAATGAAGATGGAAAAAAGATAAGAAGCTTGATCTTCTCTTGAGGTATCCACCAAAAAGTTTGAGTCGCCAATGTAAGAAACTATAATTTATTGTATAAGTATTTTAGATTGTTATTTTGTGTTTAATGGAATTGTGCTCCTTTGGCAAAACATATTTTGTAGAATGGTAATACGTACCTTTTTGAATATGTTGTTAGATATTTGTTAATGGTGTAGGTTATTATGTATGGAGAAAGGAGTGGGAATTGATAGGTTAAAGATATGGGGATTGTAATGTCATCAAAAGAACTAAAAAGCTAATTCCAGCTTTACCGCGACATAGTAGCTATTGTGCCACAACGTGGTGGCTGAGGCAGTGCTTGAGTGAGAATTTGACTTAAATTGAGAGAAAGATACTTTGCATTGTAGTGTGGTATTATTAGGTAACAGAGCATGGTAGAAAAAGTAGGATGCTATTTTGAATTGACACTGCAATGTTATTTGGGGAGACTGCGAAGTCAGTCGAAGGCTCCACGAAGCACTAAGGGTCAGGCCACAACACGATTTCAAGAGCAGGTTAAAATATATTAAAGCACATTATCACAAAAAAAACACCCCCAAACACAGAGAGAGTGAGCTCCGACGGTTTTTCAAGAAGAAGGAATGTTATGTGGCGATAAAGAGGGAAGATAGCAAGGACAAATCTCTATTAACTTCTAAAGGTAGTGTCTTCTACTTCTTCTTCTTCTTCTTTTAACTAGTAGAGTTTTTAAACTGTGGCCTTGCACGATTTAAGTAAATAAAATTTTCACTCCTTGGTTGAACTAAATGATAGCACAAGGAAGCAGGGTTGAATCCTTAAGGACACAACCTAATAGGCAATGCCTCTTTGCGTAAGGCACATACTAGTCACAACTGAAAATATAAATGGGGGGGGGGGCATTATTTATTCAAAACTAAAACTAAAAATAGCAGTGAAGTTAACTAAATGAAATCATTAATAAAAATGAATTCAGTTTTTCTACGACTTTCCTATTCATGCAATTAGCTTAGATCTGGTTATTGAAAATGTATTCTATCTAAGCTAGTACTGAGAAAAACCTAACAAGGTCAAGTATAGTCTCTTTTTCCTAGTTAAATTAAGAAAAACAAGCACTTCAGTTAACCCTAACTTTTTACTGTCTAATTAAACAAACTTTTAATCATGATGAGAAAAGTTACATCATGATCTGTGTAAAATTCCTAGAAATACCCAATACTTCCCACAAGGTCGGAAGCATAAAGGTATAAAATTTTAGTTTATATTAAGGTTAAATCCCTAACACGAAACCAATCTAATACTTGTTACTTGTTACTATTTGACAATAACAAATACAAATTTTATTAAGTGATTAACTTGAATGATTAAGCCCTAGCTAGTTGATCAGACTAACAAGATTTAAAAATCAAACATTAATTAAGCTCAAAAGTGAAATAACTATATAGAAGGACACAATAAAAACCAAATCAGATAACCGATGACCTGAAAAGTACTAGTCTATTGCAAAACTGAAAACTAGGATTTCTGCCAGACATTGATAAAATATGAGAAAAACTAGTAAAAATAAACATTAAACTACTAGATCTTACTGAGCTAAATATAGGACATGATCCAAAGTCTTCAAATCTTTAGAAATCACTAAAATCTTAGAGAAAACGTCTTTTTCATCGTCTAAAGTTCCAGGAATCAGCTAGGCTTGAATATGACCAGAGGGGTTGTATTTATATGCAAATCAGAAGTTTCTGGAGAAAGTAAAGCAAATCCATGATCGCATTATTGCGTGAATGCAAACGTATTTTTGTTTATGAGACTGATTTTTCCCAAATTTTCCTAAGATTGATTTTTTTTTTCGGCCCACAAAAACCTTGACCACTTTATGTGATTGAATTTTTTTATTTTCACAAACATGAAAGTCATCCAAAATTTTGTCTAGTTTCCTGAGCATTTTGAATCTCGTTAACCGGAGTTACGAGTCATGAGATATGGTCAAAATACTGATAAGGGTCAAAGCTGCCAACAACATTTATGCATTAGAATGTAGCAATTTATCTTCGTAGGATTAATTTGATTGAATTTTTCTTGACCGAAATAACTTCCAAGCATTCCTCAGAATCCTTCATAAGCACCAAGCTCCAGTTAACTCTAATTTCCCATTAAACGCATCCAAAGCTGCTGCCAAAGTATTGCTCCATTTGAATTATTTACTTTCTGCTCTTTTTTTGCTTAGATTAGTTTGTTTTCATTCTTTATACTTGAAGTGTATCTGATCGATGCAAACCTTCAGTAGTTTGCTTGTAATAATAGTAATCACTCGAGTATGTGAATCCCTCGTATGAAGCATTGTATGGAAGGAAGTGTAGAATGCCTTTGTGTTGGCTTGAAGTGGTTAAGAAGAGGCTCATGGAACCAATGTTAGTGAAAAATACCAATGAGAAGATAAAGGTTTTCCAAAGACACATGAAAGCTGCCCAATATCCCCAAATAAGTTACACAGATTTGAAGAAAATTCCTTTTAAAATAAAGAGTAAATTACGCGAATGGTCCCTGTGGTTTAGTGTAAATTACACGCTTGGTCCCTAACTTATTTTTCTAACTCGGACTATCCTCAACTTTTGATTATGTAACCCGCCTAGTCCCTATTCTCACATTCCGTCAATTGTTTCCGTTAGACACCCCACGCGCCTTGCACGTTGGGGGTATAAAAGTCTTTTCACATTTCCAACGAACTTCAAATACTAATTTTTCATCAGGATCGAACCTAATTTAGAGTTTCTTTCAATCCTCCATCGTTTGAAGCGGTTACACCTAATCTCCTTCAAATCAAGGATGGTTCAATGCGATTGTGGGCGTGCTGCTGTAATTCGAACTTCAACTACTAACAATAATCTAGGAAGACCCTTTTACGCATGTCCAATTAAGGTATGTTGTAGTTGAGAATTTTGTAATCGTAACCCTAGATGGGGATATCACTGTATGCGATTATAGGTATTGTAACCCTAGCTTTTGAAATTGACAGGAACCACGTAAAGGATTTATTGCTTGGGTAGATGATGATGAAAAGGATCATGGTGACATATTGACAATCTCCTGGCTTGTGAGGTTGAACAAGAAGCTGAAAAATGAAAATCTTTTCTTGAAAATATGTTTATTTATTAGTTGGGTATTGTTCTTGGTGATACTTGTTTACAAGTTGTAAGGTGGGGATGAGTTGTTATTGTAATGGTAAAGTCTTCTGTAATGGTTAGGTTGTAGCAATGTATGTGATGGTATCATTATCTGTAATGGTTAGGTTGTAGCAGTGAATGTGAAGGTATCCTTTTCTGTAATGGTTAAGTTGTCTATGTATTGTAATGCAGATGGTTAAGATTTTTAAGATCAATGAAAATGGTGTTATGTATTGGTTAGGTTGTCTATGTATTGTAATGCAAATGTACTGTAATGGTTGTAGCAGTGTTGTATTGATTATGTTTTAAAGTGATGTATAAGCAACATATTAACCATTAATTAGTACCAAACTATAACAGGGCAATAAGGGTGACATCATAAGAAGAATATAACAATCTAATTTAGTACCAAACTATTATGGAAAATATAAATGTAAAAATCAATATAAACCAAATTATTATCTACCCAATGGTGTATCATAAGAAGAAAACATTCCATTAATTAGTACCAAACTATTACTGGGCAATGAGGGTGACAAACTAGTTCATCCAAAAGTGCCAACATATTGGCTAAAACAAGTATCAAAATACTGCCCCTATTACAAACTATTCATAAATAATGTACCAAAATATTAGCCCTATTACAAGCAGCAACATAACACAATCCATTCATATTTAAAGTAACAAAAGACTAGCCCTATTACAAACCATCAAGTGGTTGCCTTCCCTTTCCCTTTTCCTTTTACTTGTGATTGTCCACCACCCCCACCAACAATTGGTCTTTGCCCTTTGCAGGTTCTTGCATTGTGACCACATTGTTACACTTCGTACATGTTACTGATCTATGGGCCCTTGATGCTGTGTTTCCTTAACAAAGTCCTCCTTTTCCACAATTGATATTGTTCTCTTCTTCTTTGGTCTTCCTATGGGAACACGATGTTTTGGAGGCAACAAGTTGTTGGTATAGCTGACTTCTCCCACATGGACCTTCCATTGATTGGACTAACCTTAAAAGAATACATCTCTTTCCAGCTTGATAACCAGTAACATGGATGCACAAATGATTCTGGGATTCCCACATCTTTGTCATTCCTCCCCATGTCCCAAATAGCAGCCACACCATGTTTGCACGGAATTCCTGTTAATTCCCACCTTTTGCACGTACAACTTTGTTGACCTACATCCACAATACACTGATCTTGCCATGGTCCAGCAACTTGATATTTTCCAGCACCACAAAATGTTGCAACATACTGTTCTGCCTTACTCTTTATGTTATCCAATATTGTTGTAGCTGTAGGAGTCAAAGGACCTACAACTTTCTGAATTTCCTTGTCAACTTTGACTATCTTCTTCATAATGTACTCTCTGATGAACTCAATGCAGTTAATAATTGGTGCATCACGACCATCTTCTATCTTGCTGTTGAATGCTTCACACAGGTTATTAGTTAGAGCATCACAATGTGCTCTCCCTTAACATAAACAAATTCTATGTCAGTATTCAATTTACCTTCTTTTAAAATTATTAAGTAGAGATCGAAAGTCATTATACCAGTAAAGTGGGAGCGAGCTCAACTTTGAGGAGGTATTTTTTTCAGCCACTCATAAGCATCATTGTTAAGCTTCTTTAGTTTTTCCATTGCTTGATGAAAGTGTTGTACATTAGAGGTCGTGGGACATTCCCAAAGAAGATCCTTGAACACCTTTCCCCTCCAGTTCTTTTTCATGTTGTATGTGACGAAGACAATAACGATGCTCTGCACATGGAAATAGTGTTGCAATCGCAGGCAACAAACCCTAGCAATAGTAACATGTTTGTATGTTAGTATAACTGCATCAATAGTATAAAACTATAAAACCTAGTTTGGATAGGTTCCAATACCTTTTGCCTGTCACTCATAAACGTGAAATTGGAATTTGTTCCCAAACCTAAGTCATCACCCAAATTACTTAAAAACCAAGTCCAAGAATTCAATGTTTCTGATTCAACCACAGCATAGGCTAAAGGATATATCCCATTATTACCATCCAATGCCTTTGATAAGAAACATAAATTACCAGAAAACATTGGTCAGTTAACACTACTTAAAATAAAGAACATACAATACAAAAAGAAATAAGAAGATCTTACCACAACAGACAAAACTTGGCTTGGATATGGACCTTTCACGAAGGCTCCATCAAGTCCAAGAAAGTCCCTTCTTCCCGCTGCAAAACCTCGCTTCAAAGCTCCAATGCAAACATAGATACGCCTGAATGTTCTTGTCTCAACAGTTGGATTCGCTTCACTTTCAACATCAATTTTAACCGTAGTATATGGGTTACGTGCTTGTACCTCTAAAACATAATCCCTTAACAACCTGTATTGGCTGGCATAATCTCCTTGAACATGCTTTAAAGCTTGCTGCTTTGCCCTAAAAGTTTTCATATGCGAAATGTCCATCTGGTACTCACGTTGGAGTTGCTCTCGTAAAGCCCTAATAGGAATCTTTGGGTTTGTCTCAATAACTTGTACTATATGCTCTGAAAGGAACTTATAGTCACATGCTTTGACTTTCCTTGTTTGTAGACATCGATGCTCCTTCGTGTATGTCTTAACCATCCAATCTATGTCACGCTTCCACTTACTACAATATATAACCCATGGGCATTTCTCTTCTTCATTAGTAGCAAGATTTGGTATAGTGCCCTTACACACAAACCTAACCCTATTCTTATCATTTTTCTCTAATTGTATTTCCCTTCTTGTCCTTATGGAATGTAGTTTCACTTGTGTCTTAAAGTCCTTAGATGAACTGAAAGTTTGAAAAATGTAGAAGGGCTCACTAACCAAAGCTGCATCATTTTCATAAGCCCTATGTATGGCCCTAATAGTTTTCCTTCGCTTACCATCATTTGCCTCATCTGATGAAGACCCAGACAACAAAACCTCTGTGTTGATCACTTCTAAGTCACCTTGTTGTGTATCTTCAGGTACATTACTTTCAGAAGAACCTCCAACCCATTCTACATCCTTGTCAATGTTCATATGGAAATTTTCATATCCACATCAACATCGTGTATGAGATTGTCCTCATCAATAAAAAAATCACTATCTTCACTCTCACTATCTCATCAAACTCATCATTTCCACTGCCATTGTTGTGTCCACTACCATCATAATCATCCTCATTCTCTACATTCATTTCAAATTCAATATGGTCGACCAAAGATGGTTCTTTGTCCAAATGACTATCATTCTCAACTTCTGTTAGGTCTGGAACACTCTCATGCTCAATTGGAGAGTCATTCCACTCCAAGAACAACTGTTTGGAGCAAGCTGGTGGCTCTTTAATTTCAACAATTTTAACCTTACTAGGGTTGGGGGACATAGAATAAGTATGTAAATTTGTTTTCCCATGCTCAATATATACATCTATTACCTTATGGTTAGCAACATACGTACCCAGATGATGAACATCCTGATCTGAACCCAAAGCAAATAACCCAAAATCCAAATCGCCAAATGGTCTCAGGAAATGATAATAGAGTAGTGTTTCGTCTGAATCAATATGCCCAAGTTCCTCCATCATCTCGTCAATGTCGTGAATGGAAAAGGTGTCAATGTCTAGTAAATCAACATAATTTTGCTTGCCTTTGATGTACTTTCTTCCAGGGAACTTTGTAAACTGTCCACCATGGTGTAATCGGACAGAGAATATCGTCGGATGTCCGGCTGTATATTCACGGAAAGATTGGTTAGTCACATTTTTCTTTTTAAGTTACTAACTGATTGAGGGAGTAAACACTTACCATATCTACGAGCAACGTCAATCTCGTCCATGGTAGCACGTATCCTCCAAGGCGCCATCGTCGTTTTCAAATGTAGGGTTCTTTCGATCAAGGGTTTTTCAAAGGGTTTGTCTGTGAAGCTTGTGTCTGATCACGTTGATCAACGATACGTCCTTTTTTTTCTTGGCGGTATAACATTGGATATGTGAAAAGACTTTTATACCCCCAACGTGCAAGGCACGTGGGGTGTCTAACGGAAACAATTGACGGAATGTGAGAATAGGGACGTGGCGGGTTACATAATTAAAAGTTGAGGACAGTCCGAGTTAGAAAAATAAGTTAGGGACCAAGCGTGTAATTTACACTAAACCACAGGGACCATTCGCGTAATT